CGAATGCAGCTATCGATTTTTTCTTGTATGCTAGTTAAAATTCGTGTCAGTCAGCTGTTGGCTCTCACGCTGGCCAATAGAATCTTCCAGCCTATTCGTTGCAGCCAGTTATAGGCTCTCACTGGCCAGTACAAAATGGCCGCAAACTACATGAAAACTGCCGTAGAAGCATGAAAAAAATCTATTATTTCCACTATCGATGGGAGTTGGGAAATGCAAAGTGGGTCTTGACCTGTTCGATTACTTGGAGCATGTGCACGAAAATTTTGGTGCAAATCCGTCGAAAATTGCGGCCGTGCATTCGTTACACACACACAGACACACACACACATTTTGTTTTTATAGATAGAGATGCTGACGATACAGTAGTCAGAACATATGATCAATGCAGAGGCTTTAAGGAGAGTGCGAGCAAAAACGGAAATTTATATTCTGCATCCGAATGAGACAGCTGAAATTTCCTGGACACATAAAGAAGAAAAAGGGCTTGGTGAATATGACACTCGCAAGACATATCGAAGGCAAAAGGTGCAGAGGGAAACAATAACCTACCAAACAAGTACATGGATGACAGAACAGGGACTGGAAAAGATAGAGGATAAACATTACTTTAAACTACAAAGGATGTTGTGGAGAGCCTTGATCGTCAAAGACATCAAGCAAAACGACATATACAAAAGGAGATACACAGTTGAAAAAAGAAACAAAAGCAAAATTATGTGTAACGTCTGCAGTTCAATAGAATTTAACATTAGATATATCCGTGTGGATGCTTTATATATATATATATATATATATATATATATATATATATATATATTTGGTTGGATTGATGTGAGTTTGTGACCCTGGGTTTCACGCTTTTGCGATATCGCAATCCAATTATAAAAGAACGAAGAATAAAAATTCAAACGTTCACAACATTAATTTAAAACAGGGCTCAATACCAAAAGTGGAGCAATAAATATTTATTATACACAGTTACATTAGAACATGTAAGTAACCGCAACAAAATTGTATATTTTTCTTCGACGTTTTAATAAAACGTATCATCAGTTAATTAACAAGGATGGTAATTGTTAATTACCTGAAGAGACGTTTAATTTAAACGTCGAACCAAAATGTACGCTTTTATGGTAATTAATTACATGTTCTAATGTAACAGTGTATTTTATATATATATATATATATATGTGTGTGTGTGTGTGTGAAATTAAAACAAAAAACATGTTAAAAATCGCTACATAATAGCAATCATGTTTCGACACTGCAAATGTGTCTCCTCGGGCGATGGTAAATAACTGGTGAGTGAACGATTAAGTTAATTTCAAAAGCGAAACACATCCTCTTTTTTCGAAAGAGAAAGAAAAGACCAAAAAAGACAGAATTAAAATTAGGCTTGTGGGTTTAACCAATTACGTATGAGGCTTACGCTAAAATCCAAACTGAATATATATATATATATATATATATATATATATATATATATATATATATATATATATATAAATGTGCTAATAAAATATAGTAGTTAACTTATATTAAGTCCCTAAACCATTTACTTAAAAAATTAAATATTTAAATTGATAACATTCATCATTTTTTAGACATCTAAATTTCTATCAAGCATTGAAATCTATCTTTTACATAATTTTGATAAAACAAAATTACAGTCTCTTTCGATTCACTTCCCTCTCCCCCTCTCTCTTTGCCGTAACACTCATTTAGATATATCTGTATTACTGTCATCTGTCTCCTCTCTCCTTTCCATTTTTCCTTTTCTTTTCCCCCCACTATCCTCCCATTCCTATATATCATTTCCGTTAAGTTAACCATCTAAATAGGTCACGGTTCGGTCACTCCTCCTACCCAAATATAAAGCATGCTTAAGAGAAATATGAAATTAACCCATCCCTATGCTCTACCTTGTCTCGTTAACTACAACTATCACCCTCCCTGTTAAATTACAAAAATTACACTACCCATCAATTTCTAATCCCATTTTTCCTTTCATTTCGTTGTTGGAAGTGTTACCTGATGATCCGGAGTCCTTTACAAAGGATTTAGGTGAAATAAATTATTGTAATGGTACCTTAAAGTGGTCTGTTTTTTCATTAACGCGAACTGACAGCGTCTAAGAATTTGAATGAAACCTGTCGTGTAATTGATTGGGGTTGTTGTAACTTCTTCCTTTAATGTCGTTCTTATCATTCACCCCTTAGCCATCTATATCTAGAGACGAGATGCGTTAAATTTGAGCAACATCTAGCCGACACACTGGGGTTAAAATAGGAAACTAAAATGATACATATGACACACTCATATCCTCTCTCCCACCTCACGTCCTCACTTCGTTAACTTTATGTATACTTGATGAGGTCCGTAAAAAACGTGTGAATTTCTTTTCATTTTCCATTTCAGCTTTTGGAAGTAAAGTCTGATGATCCAGAACCCCTGTTAAAGGGGTTATGGTGAAATAGCTTATTACATGGAATCTTAACGTGGTCTATCTTTTATTCAAACATATCTGCTCTGAATTTTACATTGAACTCTCTGGATATCATCCTCCTCAGGTCTACCCATACGGATTACCTAAGTTTGCATAAACTATATATATATATATATATATATATATATATATATATATATATATATAGGAAATTAAAACAAAAAAACATGTTAAAAATCGCTACATAATAGCAATCATGTTTCGACACTGCAAATGTGTCTCCTCGGGTGATGCTAAATAACTGATTAATTTAATTTCAAAAGCGAAACACCCCCTCTTTTTTCGAAAGAGAAAGAAAAGACCAAAAAAACAGAATTAAAATTAGGCTTGTGGGTTTAATCAATTAGGTATGAGGCTTACGCTAAAATCCAAACTGAATATATATATATATATATATATATATATATATATATATATATATATATATATATATAAATGTGCTAATAAAAATAGTAGTTAACTTATATTAAGTCCCTAAACCATTTACTTAAATAATTAAATATTTAAATTGATAACATTCATCATTTTTTAGACATCTAAATTTCTATCAATAGAATAGACTTCTATCTATCTCTATCTATCTATCTATCTATCTATCTATCTATATATATATATATATATATATATATATATATATATATGTCATGATATGAAGTTATCTGCAATGGAATCCTAGACAGTATCATTTGCAACAGATACATATGATTATATCGTCTCGTAAATATAAAGATGTTTGACGTCCAACTTTCACAAGTTAAGGGGAAAGGGGTAGAACGATTATCTAGCATATTGTTAACTAGTTCTATGCTCGATCAACTTCCTACAGAATTTTGTAGTTGATAATTAAAAGACTTCTTAAAAAATTGGATCATAAATTCTTAACTACTCTGGTAAATTCATATGGAACCATTAGGTAGAAAGCATCCATATAAAATGTTAATAATACTAACTAGACATCAATACAGAGCTATACTAAATCTAAATGAATTTTACACACTAGAATACACAGTACATCTACCATTGATAACTGTAAGAAAAATTATTATCAAATTCGAAGTTTAACCATATTGTAAGTTAAATGTAAACTATGCATACAATTTACCGTTAATTCACTTCTTTGGTTTAATAAGGAGTTTTTAGCAGTAAATCTGATAATTTCTACTTTTTCATTTAAGCATAACAAAACAAAGTTCATTTACATATCTACACGTTCTAGCTTTTTTTGAGTTTTATTACCTTCTTTTAAATTCCAAAAATATTTAGAAAAAGACGTACTTTTTTAATAAGTAGCATTGGTAAAGGGCAAGATGTGTTGGTACCATCTAGTCTTAAAAGAATTCTTAGTACTACCAATATAAAATTTTTCAAAAGTTGGATTTTCTAGGTAGAAATAGTACTTAGATAAACGAAAGAGTGGGTCTTACATTGGTTTTGCAATGGGCATTCGTTAGAATTTCTGTAATTAAATTGGTTAATATTATCAACAGTATTTATCTTAGAATTTGCATTATCATCCAAGTTTTTAATTTGGTTTAAAATTTTATTATTGTGTTTCTTTATAATCTTCTCAAGATTATCGGAGCAGCTATAACTTAGTTTTAGTTTGCTTCTGTTAAATATTATACTGAGTGGATTATTTCTAGGGAAATGTTTATCAATTAAATGAAGGGACTTTGGGCCTAACTTAGTACTGACCATTTAGTTAAAAGGGGGGTATACTAAATGATTTTCTTATTTCTATTTCTTTTCCTTAGTTCACTATTATCATGTTCTCTCTATTTGATTTCTGCGTACTTGTAACTACTATTTTTAAAAGAAGTAATATAAACACCACTATATTTATTAAAATCATCTTTATTAGATGAGTTGTTGCTAATCCTACATTCTATAGATGAGGATATATGCTTGATTACTGATAGAGGTTGGTTAGAGTTAGGGTGAATATATAATGGGTTAGCATTGACTTTCATACAAGGTTGGAATACATCATTAACAAGAACAGTGGAATTATATTCCATATGTTCTTGTCTTCCCTCTCCCTGAATTGAGCTCTCTTGGTCAATGGCGTGTTTATTCACAGAATGAGTACGCTTTCTTTAAACCGATGGCTTAGGGGGTAAAATCTCCGACATTTGACGAATCAGCCCGGTTTCGATCTCGACTTGAAGCAAACGGATGTTTAGCCACACTGAGGAGCTGTCATACAGCAAAACAGTCTGTCCGTGGATGACTATATATATATATATATATATATATATATATATATATAATAAGATAAAGAACAAATAGAAAATGTATATCAATCTTTCACTTTTATAAAAGCTTCGTCAGAGATTAAGAGAAAAGAGACAAATAGACAGAAACTCATTAGCGCAATGTCATCATCAGGGTATGTTTTTTTCTAAAACAAAATTCTTGTGTTCATCTGAAAGTTAAATTTTGTTACCTGTGAAGTGAAAAACGCTAAGTTTATGTACGATTTAAATGGCACACAGATAGATAGATAGATAGATAGATAGATAGATAGATAGATAGATACGAGCAGACTAACATAGATAGATAGATAGATAGATATTAATGAGCATATTTTGATAGATAGATAGATAGATAGATAGATAGATAGATAGATAGATAGATACGAGCAGACTAACATAGATAGATAGATAGATAGATTTTTTTTAATCAATTCACTCCAAGCAAGGCGATAATGTCACTAAGACACAAGGGGTTTACTGAGAGTGGAAGAGATTGAAAAGACTTCAGAAGGGACTGGAAACCTAATCCTAAAAAGGAAACAAGGGATAAACCTCTTTTCCTCTTCAAAGAAGTGCGGGTGGGGATGGTGTCGAAACGGATGCCTTCAAATCTTCGCGTATCACGTGCGTCAGATGCAGTTGTTGTATGGACAACCCAATGTGGCTGTTTTCACTACACTTCAATATTCTGTGGTCAGAAATGAAACTCCTGATCGCTTTGCCGAATCGATCTTTTAGATGAATTTTTTTTTTAAATCAAGCTTTTCTCCGTTCAGGAAACGAGAGATTCACTAAAATCTATAAAAGAGGCAAATCAACTCGTAAAAGAAAAAAAAAAAAACCTCTGGAAAAATCTAAGGAGATGACATGCACGATTTCCAATAGCCGTTACGCAACATCAAAGGGCGGGTGCACGTTCCTTTCGGACTGAAACATCCGGAATGCAATAAAAAACGATCGGTTTTTATCGTGGAACGCTCTTTGTATATACCGAGTGTAACAGCGAAATTGTCCAAATCGTGTAACAGCATAATTGTCCATCCCACAAAATGTTTAATATCAAAAAAAAAAAAAAAACTGAGTTTCTTTTCTCCAGTTTTTTAGATAAGACGTTTAACCCTCACTATTTATCGTAAGAAAGAGAACAGGTTAAAATCCTTTTGTGTCAGCCCCACTATGTCTTCCCAACTGAGCAATGGTGAGAGGAAAAAGATCATTCAAGCTTTCAGTAATAGTACCAACATTCATATTCTGGCTTCAATCTTCAAATTTCATTCAAGAACCATCAATAGAATGGTGAATAAGTGGAAAAAGGAGGGAACAGTAGAGAGGAAAATTGGATGAGGAGGTCACAACAAGAAGAGGGATCATCATTTCAAATTAGAGCTAAAGAGATTAATTAGAAAGGATCTAACTCAATCCATAAGACGTTTGGCATGTGAGAGAAGTTTCAGCTATGACAGTCCAAAGAGCAGTGAAAAATCGTACGTGAAACATGTTAGGCAACTTGTTACTCCAGGACAGAAAGTTAGAACGTTAGAGAAGGCGAAAATCATCTTGAATAAGTTGGAAAATCCTGAAATAATATATATATTTGAACTCTATTTCATTCCTTCGTGAGCTTCCAATACTGAGCTATGATTAATTAATGATGAACATATCTTTTCGTTTATAATCAATTTCGTAAGTATTCTTCTGTTAAGTTTGGAGAGTAATTATACATTCTTATTGTCCAAAGTAGAGTCCAAACAAACCTCAGAGAATTCCAGTAAGATATCTTTAATCATTACTAAGATGCAACGATTCAAAGCTTAATCTAACAACTGGACAATTTTGCTGTTACACCCCGTGTATATATCGTCAGGCGATTGCGTCTAGCATGAAACAGCCTGTCACCTCTGAGTGTTGACTCCAATGTTCACTTTTATATTTATATTTACACACGCTCTATCTCTGATATTGAGCACTTTATCCCATAAATATAGCACACCTTAAAACTATATTTCTACATATAATACATATATATATATATATATGTGTGTGTGTGTGTGTGTGTGTGTGTGTGTGTGTGTGTGTGTGTGTGTGTGTGTGTGTGTGTTCCTTAAGGTTGCTAATTCTAACTGAAATTTCCTCGTCGCTCTCGTGTAAAATCCTATTTGAAAGAAAACAAAACTAATACGCCATGTCCATTCAGGGCGTGGGCGATCATGTCTCTCCACAACTACCTATCTTTTGCTGCTCTAAAAAATGCAGAAATGTAAAACAAGGATGTGTCTTCTCACCGGAAGCGATTCTAAGAGAACTAGAAGTCCTACCAGGATTCATTATTGGCGGCCACACTCTTAACAACATAAGATATGCAAATGTACAGTGTTGTTAGCAGACACAGAAAGGAAACTAGAAAAACTCTTACAGAAAGTATTTAAGAAAAGCGAGAAGAAAGGATTAAACATCAACTGCAAAAAAAAACAAAACAGAATGGATGGTTGTTAGTAAAAGGGAAAAGTCTAAATATGAATTGCAAATCGGAGATAACAAAATCAAACAAGTACAATTTGAAATATCTGAGAAGTGTTTTAGCAGAGAAAAGAAAGTGCGACACAGAAATCCGAAGGCGAATTGGGATAGCCAAAGATGCCTTCCAAAAGCTAAGCAGGGTATTAAAAAACAGAAAAACTTCGTTAGAAACAAAGAAAAGAATACTGAACTGTTACATGATATATGTCCTCCTATATGGCAGTGAATGCTGGGCAATCTCCACAAAAATGAAGAAGAGAATTGAAGCAACAGAAATGTGGTTCTACAGAAAGATGCTAAGGATACCATGGACCGAAAATGTGAGCAATGACGAAATTTGATAGAAAACAAAAAGGAAACTTATACTTAACATCAAAAAGAGACAGTTGAAATTTCTAGGAGACATAATGAGGGAAGGAGGCTCGGAAAATCTGATACTCACAAGACAGATTGAAAGCAAGAGGGGCAGAGGAAAACAACGCATAACATACTTAGGGAGCTTGAGTAAATGGATTGCTACCAGGGTTTAGGAGAAACAACAAAAAGATAAAATTTATTAAAAGCGACAAAGGACAGGAAGTTGTGGAGAGCCATCATTGCCCACGTCCTGAGGGTACACGGCACATAACGAAGAAGAAGCTGTGTTTGTCCTTTTACTATCTTTCCAAATCCATGTTCTGTCATCCGTTTACATAAACTCGTTAAGGATGGTACTCAATGTTTCCATCTGTCTCACGTGTCTTCACAATGCTCTGTGAGTTTCAAATTCCACATTCTTTCAATATTACGTCTCCAACAAATTTTAGTTGTCTCTTTCTGATATTGAATGTAAATGTCATTTTTGTTCCTATTTTTTCTTTAAAACTTCTTCGTAACCGTCCATGGCATTCTCAGCAGACTTCTGTAGAATCATTATCAATGTCGCCTCATGTTTTCTCTTTATGTGTGATGAAATTGTTTCTTTGCCATATAGGAGGACCGATAACTTTATGTTTCTTAATAATTTGTTTATCTTTTGAAAGGCATATTTTATTAGGTTGGTGCAAAAATAATGACGTAAGAATGTCGTTTTTGACGTTAAAATACGTCAAAAAACGACATTATTACGTCATTATTTTTGCACCAACCTAATATTATTCCAATCCCCGTTTGGGCTTCCGTGTCACATTTTTCGACATCTGTTAAAATAATTCCTAGATTTCCAGAACTTGTTTTTTTATTGCTTTTTTTGTTTGTTTGTTTGTTTGTTTTTAATCGTTTTCATCCCAAGCAAAACAGTAAAGCCACCAAGACACAAGTGGTTACAGGATGTGGAAAAATTAGGAACAGAAACATTACTAATAAGCAGAAAGAAAATAAAGTAATCATGAGTACAATAGATAGCCGTTGACATTGCATTTAAATTTTTGAAGATTAAAGTTTGCCTTAAAGCATCCAGCTAGAAGAGGATTCCCCAAGAGAAGTGAAAGAAAGAAACTGTTAGCGTAGAACTTACGGCGACATCTCGCCAACTCAACTGTAAATTGATGGGATCTCGACGCCAGTCGAGTACTGCGCTTAAATTCAAAAAGTCTAGGTACCAAAGCGAAGAGCGATATTTATTTGTAATTTATTTACAAAATGTGTCACAAGACCAAAAATGGGGAATGGGGAAAAGGACGGTCTTCATCGGTCTTAACTTTAAACTTAGCCACAAACACTGACCCAAATATACCACAATATTCCTAACACCAAAACAACGCATTCTTATTTACCTTTCTTACTACATTCACCATAATACCTCAAAGTCTCTATGAAAATCCTAAATAGTCTCCAAATGTACTATTCATTGTTTGTGGGGCGAGGGGAATAAAACAACAAAGCGAACAATTACCATGAAAGTATTTATTGAAAAGACACCTTACTGTAGTGGGAAAGTGACTGAAGTCAAAATGCCAGATCAGGACCAATAATATTGCTGATTCTTCTTTGGATTTTGTCAAGGGGTTGAAGGTAAATAGCAAAGGCAGCGGACTATATGTAGCAGAAATATTCTAAGCATGGACGAATGGTAGACTTATAGATATGTAAGATAGATTCTGGAGAGAAAAATTGTCTTGCACGACACAGTGCGCCAACTTTTGATTTTTTTTTCTCTCTCTTGCTGACAACCATAACTTATGTCTTCTTGCAATAAATTCTTTGAATATTTTTGTGCATTGCTGGTTTGTCTTCCTTGTCGTAAAATTGTTATGCGACGAATTCTTTGAAACTTTAAATTATTTTCCTTTTTTTTTTTTTTTTGTTATAACTTTGAGCCACGAATCGAAGATGTCAGAATCAAGCAAGTACAGAAATTCAAATATCTGGGAAGTGTTTTAATAGACGACGATTAATGTGACACATAAATCCGAAGTTGAGTCGGAATAGCGGAAGTGTAGGGGCAATGGAGGTATGGTTCTACAGAAGGATAATGAGAATAGCATGGACTGAACATGTGAGTAATGAGGAAGTATTTTTTACGAAAACTGGGACAAAAACGACACTTATTTCAAAAACACATCATGAGAAAAGAATGTTTAGAGAGTATAACACTCGCGGGGCATATAGAAGGCAAAAGAGATAGAAGAAAACAAGCTTATATAAATGGATGACAGAACAGGGAATGGAAGGGATAATAAAAAGGCATACGTTGATAAGTGCTACAAATGATAGGAAGTTGTGGAGAGCCATGACCTAACGAACTTGTGTAAATAGATGGTAGGACAGGGAATGGGAGGGATAGTAAACAGACAAACGTTGCTAAGAGCTATAAAAAATAGGAAGTTGTGGAGAGCCATTATCACCTACCTAACGAGGTTGTGTAAATGAGAGACAGAACAGGGAATTGAAGAGACAGTAAAAACACAAAGGTAGCTAAGAGCTACAAAGAATAGGAAGTTGTGGAGAGTCATTATCACCTACCTAACGAACTTGTGTAAATAGTTGGCAGAAGAGGGAATGTGAGGGATAGTAAAAAGACAAACATTGCTAAGAGCTACAAAGAATAGGATGTCGTGGAGAGCCGTGATCACCTACCTAACGAGATTGTGTAAATGAGAGATAGAACAGGGAATGAGAGAGACAGTAAAAAGACTAAGGTAACTAAGAGGTACAAAGAATAGGAAGTTGTGGAGAGCCATTATCATCAACCTAACGAACTTGTGTAAATAGATGACAAAAGAAGGAATGTGAGGGGTATTAAAAAGGCTAACATTGCTAAGAGCTACGAAATATAGGAAGTTGTGGAAAGCCATGATCGCCCACATCCTGAAGGGACACATCACATACAAGAAGTAAGCGTGTTTGCATGTGTCTGTACGCGTATTTGGGTGTAAGTGTATGGGGTGACAAGTGCTTGGGGACTAACGCTAACTTTCTGAATCTTGGGCATATATCAA